GGTCTCATTTTTTTAAAAAACAGCTGTGGGACTCTAATTTCAATATACTGAAAATCTCCCTGGCAGAAGCATCTGCTGTGCAGGGGCGGGTGGAGGGAGTGGGGAGGGGAGGAGGGGAGAGGAGGAAGGGAGGGGGAGGAAAGGCAAGATGGTGGCTAGCCCCCTTTAAAATGTATTTATTTCTTATTTATTTAAATTTATTGACTGCCCAACCTATGCAACAACCCAGGGGTGGGTTTCTCGCCCCGTTCCAACCAGTTCGGTTGGAATGGGGCTGGTGGTGTCCTCGTGCACGCGTGCAGCGCACGCATGCGTACTAGCATCTGTGTGATGCTCCAGCTGCTCCTGGAGGATCGCGCAGGCACTGTATTCTGACCCCTGATTTCCCACCACCACCAGATGTTTATCTTATTTAACTCCTGCCTTTAATATTTTACTAATATCCTGCCTTTAACAACTCAAGCCAGCAAACATACGTAATACTGCTTCCTTCTCCTATTTTCCCAACAACAACCCTGAGAGTGAGAGAGGGACTGGACCAGGGGTGGGTTTCTCGCCCCGTTCCAACCGGTTTGGTTGGAACGGAGCCGGTGGCGTCCTCGTGCACGCGCGCAGCGCACGAATGCATACTAACATCTGTGCGATGCTCCAGCTGCTCCTGGAGGATCGCGCAGGCNTTCTAGGTGATTCGGTGGTAAGAATCCCTTTTGTTCCTTCTTTGTTATATTATTCCTTTTTGCTCATATCTCTCTCTTACTTTCACAATTCTTCTCAGCATTTTTTTGTCACCAGTAACTCATTAGGCACTGTTTCTTCCACCCTGTTTCCCCCTTATAAACAATGATAAACAAATGTTGGTTAGCAGTAGTGACCAATGCTGGCCTAAAGAATGACCCCAACTAGACATAGTCCATGGAAATCTCGAATCTTCTTTTACGCAGATGCACAAAATTGGTTAGATTGCGCTTTGTTGAGCTTGGCATACACCCCACAGGCAACTTTGTTCTGCTGGAATGAAGTTAAGATGCAACTCTTAGCTTTACAAATGCAATTTTCTGAAAAATTGTTGGCAGCGTGGTCATTGCACTGCACTTGCCAGATTCGGTCTCTGACACTTCATACACAACCTCTCTTCAGTTGCATCACTCTCTCCAAGGGTTAGCCATGGTGGGTTGTAAATTCTGAGTAAGTGAAAGGCCAATTTGAAGCATATTTTCCTATTAGTCACTATTGGTGTCCTGCTGGTCAATCATTTCACAATCAGAATCATATCCACAGCCTAGGAATATTGACTCTCAAGGGTTGGTTGATATATTTATGTCCGAATCTTATTTAAATCTTCCCCAGAGAGTATTCTGGGAATAGCTGTTAATTCTTAAATCAAGAGAAATGAAAGGAGGAAGCTCAGAATTACATTGGGACCATCGTGTTCTAGTCACATAAGTCCATGGAACAGAAGGTAAGGAAATTTGTGTTGTCTTTTACTAAATCATGCTCACGAATTTCAGAACGTACAGTTTTTGTGAATGAAGGCAAATATACAGCTCCCAGGAAAACGTTGCAAGATTCATACTGAATTAGTCACCAGGACCAAAGGTTTATTCTTCCAAGCTTTTACACTTTGTCAAGCATGTATGAGAAAACAAGTATGTATGAATCTAACATATAAAATAAGCAGGTTTAAGTATTTACATAAGAAATGATTACAAATAAATGGGAACAGTAGGGATGATAGGCACGCTGGTGCGCTTATGCATGCCTCCTTTTACAGACCTCTTAGGAATGGAGCGAGGTCCATGGTAGGTAGTTTAAGGTTAACGTTTGGGGGGGGGGATTGAGGATGCAACAACAGAGTCAGGTAACACATTCCAGGTGTTGATCACTCTGTTGCTGAAGTCGTATTTTCTGCAATCAAGTTTGGAGCAGTTTATCTTGAGTTTGTATCTATTGTTTGCCCGTGTATTATTGTGGTTGCAGCTGAAGTAGTCATTGACTGGAAGGACGTTGTGTCAGACAATTTTGTGTACTAAGCTTAGGTCAGAATGTAGGCGGTGTAGTTCTCAGTTGTCCAGGTCCAAAATTTCAAGCCTTTGCTGGAGTCCATCATCAGGAAAGTTCTCTTTCTCCAGAATATGCACACTGGGCTGTTCTTTGCATTGTATTTATATGGCTCCTGGTTGTGTGGAGTTTTTGGTTGTTAATTAGGGCGTTGATGGCTAGTTTGGTAGATGGGGTAGCTTTTGTCCCTTGTGAGATATGGGATGGTCAGTTGCAAGGCAAAACTAGTAGGGAGTCATTCTTGCAAGGTATGTCACTTATAAAGCCCTTCATGGTATTGGACCTGGGTACTTGAGAGACCGCCTGCTGCCAATCACCTCCACTAGACCG